GCTTTCTTCTTCCCTAGAGAGTCACGCGATTATAGGCTTGTAATTAAACGCCACTATCCACAATATGCAATCGCGAGCTTCGTCTTCTAGAAAAAAAAGGTTATACATTTATGGACTTGCTGAGATGCGATTCGAGTCCGCTTACTCGGTTGGTGCGGGTGAAGGAACTCTGTGTATTATCACTTTCATTTCTAGCAAGAGTAGAAGCCATTAAGCTCAGTATCATATTCCAAAGATCTCTCTACTTCCCATTGTTTGTTTCACATCTGAACGATTTTTGTTCTCTGATCTCAAGTATTCTACGCGGCGGGAACCCATTTGTGGATACAGTGAATGCAGCGCTGATAATATACAATTACCCATCATTAATGGGTTCTGATATAGGATGGCAAAGCTTCATCTCCGGGGAACACTGCACGCTTGAATGCAGATGCTGAAAGTTTTGAAAAGCAATTTTGCCAAAAGACAGACGAAAAGGTAATTTCAATGTTACAGATTCTCGAAGAACATGGACAGAACTTGTTCTACATGCCGCACGGTATTACTATCGACGAGAAGGGAAATTATTGGGTTACTGACGTCGGAAGCCATCAGGTAGGCTTATCACCTGCAGTAATAACGAAGCGTCCAGTAAAAACAAACAACAAAATCAACGCCAACAAAAACCATAATATACACGTTTGTATTTTAGGTGCACAAGCTAGACACGTCTTTCCGCCCCATCTTGTCATTGGGAGAGAAACTCGTTCCGGGCAATGATGGAAGCCATTTTTGTAAGCCGACCGACATCGCCGTGGCGAAGAATGGTTATTTCTTCGTCGCTGACGGATACTGTAACAGCCGAGTGCTCAAGTTTGATCCCAGCGGAAAACTCGTCGACAGCTTTGGAGCCGCAGGTGGTGCGTATTTAATGTATTTATTGAATTCTCATAACATTGGTAGTTTTGAACGCGCTTTCAAAAGAAACTCGCTAGCTCAGAACAAATACGCATGAATTCTGAGCGAGCATGGTGCCCGTCTACGTTGCTTCAACTTGGACTCCGTCGCTTCAAAAATCGTTTTCTTTCATTTCCAAAGGGCTGAGCCTTTTAAATTCTGCAGTCACCAATAAATTCCTCCTACTATCTAAAACCTTCTGTGATAATCTTTTGATCCTCAACCTTTTTTTTCTGAGATAATTTCGTATCTCATTAGCTGAGATGTCTTTCGGGAGCAACTTTTCTTCGTTTTCCAAGTAGAGGATAACCCCACAAAATCTTCTCATCTTTAACCATATGCACCGGATCGGACAGGGTGTTGCTGCGCACTTCATTCAGACATGGCGTAAGGTCCGTTTTCCGCGGGATGTTCCTGTTTGTGGCAATTGTTACCCCTTCTTGCGTTGCAGAGCTTGATTGTCACGGACGCGAAACCCGTAAGCGGCGCCAACACAAACGCACAACCAAGCCCGTTTCAAGATAAAGTCTGCAACCATCCCTTTCCACATACCGAAATATGGGGGGATGGGTGTGTAAGGGGTACCCTGTTATGGGAAAATGCAGAAGTCTAGGCATCTTCGTGGCTTCGTGCTGCGTAACTTCTCGAAGAGAAACCAGCCCAGGTCTCGAAATCACGTTTGTTCATGCACTGTATAAACCCTTCCACTGTTCCGTTGTACTCACGGTACGGTAGATCTTTTTCACACGAGGGCGGACGAACGAGGGCGTGATGTTTCTTCATCGAACCAAAACCTGAAGAACACACAGACCTTTAAAGAACCGCATTGAATTTTACTGACAAGCGACTTATATTTGATTGACAAGCAGGGAAAGGCACTTTGGAAATTGAGGTATCAACCATGCCGACTGGCAGAATTCAGTTCTCAACAATTTTATTGTATTGCCTTCGATATGTCTGCGGCGACATACTTTTCTAAGGGTCGCCCTTTACACTCATTTGGCCACAGAAGGCCTCGGCACGGGTCATGTACAGTCTCGTTCGGTGCAGAGTTGGTCCGTGTCAGGGGGCCGATTCTGCCGTGACGGCAACTCGCTCTCTTTTCACAACGTCAAGCGGCAACAATTGGTGAAAGACACACACATCAAACCCGGCATACCTCACACACCCAAGCATCCGCAACGACACGGCTGTACAGACACACACCGACTTCGCCTGCAGATGTCAGTCCTCATATCCTGGATTGATAGCAGACATGTCCTTCGGCATTATATGGCCTTTTTCAAAACGCTCGCCACTGTGCACCTAGCTGCCCCCGTTACTAAGGGATCGACCAGTGTGAACGACAAGTTTTTCTCTATGTATCAGAAGAACAGCCCATAGATACCTGCTAATCTGATGTTGCTGCTGCAGGCTTTTCAAATATCGGAATATCCTCCCTCCGGGACAGCACGGAACTTCGACAATGTTACTATCCACCGTGCGGTTCCAGTTAGTATTTTGATCAGAGCCTGTTCTTCTTTGAAACTGTGAGCACCATGAGACATGACAACTACGACACCTGGTAAAGCTGTGCATGCCTCAATACCAGGATTACTCCTTAAGAATGATAGGAAATGGGAAGTTTTCGCGGGTGGTTCTATGTTTGCAAAACAGTGGAAAGTTGCCACCAGAAAGATATCTGTGTCAGTAAGAAGTGATAATGCTTAAAGGGAAACGTGGGTAACGACGGATTCAATTTCGTGACCAAACAGACATCCACACACACACAACTTAGGCGGAACTGAGGAGACGACTAGCGATAGAAGCAGAAGCTAATGTACCACAGAATACCTGAGTACTCGAGCATCTTGCGTTTTAGCACAAAGTCTGTGGCCAGACTTTGCTTTTTGGATTTCTAATGGCACACTTTCGGGCTTTGCGATTTCAAGCGAGTGAGGACACACAAAAATCCACTTGCTAATTCACTTGAGACCCCTTTAACTTCAAGTACTACCCAAGCAAGCAGCAGAAAGAGTGCGTGTGGATGGCTCCTGGCTTGCACTTCTCTAGACAGGCGAGAGCTCCTGAACAGTTCCGGAAATTTATGTTAGGTTGGAAGGAAAGTCCTGTCAGTGTTTTTTGAAAAGCTTACAGTTTTTGATTCTCGATGCTCGTACATGACGTAACATGCTATGCTTGTAGGACACTCTGGGAGCTTTCCTGCAAGAGGCGTGTGAGGGCGCCTGCTCTTCCCTGGGTTTAATTACGATGTCAGTTTCACAGGAGTATCTTCGGGTCATCATCTTCTATCAGTGGCCCCGCGGCACTGGAGCCACGGCAGCTGTCCGTAACATCAACAGTGCATTGAGGGAGGACACCACTACCGTCAGGATCGTTCACTTTTAGTTCGCTCGCTTCGCGAAAAGAGACTCGATCCTCGAAGGCAAACCTTGGTTGGGACGGCCCCAAGAAGTATAAGACTCCACCATTCTCGAAGCAGACAAGGGGGATCCAGAGGCTACCACCCGCAGTCTTGCGACAAGACTCGGATGTACCTAACTGACAGTCGTCCACCGCCTGTAAGCCTTTGACTACCAAGAAGTACTGGCTTGATGGATCATTCATACCTTGACCGATGGCACGCTGTGCACCCGGGTACCCCTTGGTCAGTCTCCCCTTCTCTGAGTTTCCGGGAGACTGCTTAGTGGGGATGAGAGATGGGTCCTCTATGATTTCAACCCACACAGTACCGTTTGTCTCTCTCAAGGAGAAGATCCATTCTAGCAGTCCAAACCGGGCATGTATTCCGAAAAGGTTCTCCTGTGCTGCTCCTGGGACGCGAGGAGGTGCTGCAGAACGAGCTGCCCCATAAGAACAGACGGTCACCGCCACCATTTGTGTCGCTCAGCTCCCGAAACGAGTGAAAATTGTTGGAGAAAAATGACCGAGACTAGCTTCGGGTCACCTCGTTCGTAGTACACGAGACCCCATACCTGCTAGAGTCCCCTACGACTGCTACCTGCTCCGCCTCTTTAAGGCTTTCTTAGCTAAGAAAACTTTCAGCAATTTTGATGACATCAGTCGAGAGGGCGCTGACTTACTCTACTCGCAGCCTTCTCAGTTCTGGGAGGAGGGGAATGCTTACCTGTCCATTGGGTGGAGCACTGTAGTGGCTAACTATGACGAGTATATTGTTGACTAATTCCCACTGTATATTGAGTTAGAAAATAAAAAGAGAAAAAAGTCACAACAGTGACAAGACTTTCCTTCCAACCTATATTAAGGATATATTTCTTTCTCCCTCATCATTTCACTATAACTCATGTGATCATTATCTTTTCCTGTGTTCACAAAGTAAATCGCAAGTTTCCATGACCGCGAAGACTTGTGGGTGACGAGGTGGGCGTGTGCCTACTGGGAGTACGTCATAACCTTGCAACGCCTTTGCTGCATACATTCGAGCGACGAAAGAGCACCTAATCTGTGGTTAAGAAGGTGATGATCTCTATCCACAATCATCTTAATAGTGGCGAGCTGAGTATTAAAACCAAATCTGCTTACTTAATTCCATGTTCTTTCAGTTCACAAAGAAATTCTAACTTACCATTAGTACACAGCACAAGGGAACCCTGTGCACTTGCGCCTTCAGTCTCACCTGTGCATAGGTGAAATTCGAGTCACACTTTAATCCACTTGTTTACAACAACGACGATAAAGATTATTTCAAAATAAAGAAGCTCGTACAC